TTGCGTTATTAACGCGTTAACTTGACAGCCCTAAAAAAATAAATATATGTACATATTAAAAACCACAAGAAGTTGAAATTAGAAAAAGTGCAAATTTACTTTAAACAAAATAAAGATGAATGTATCCTCCTCCATCGGTGCCTTCCACCTGTTCTCCCTGTTTTGTCCTCTTTAATATCTGTATCTCTCCTCCTCCTCCCCCTCCTCCTCCTGCAGGTGGGGAACGAGGGCTTGGCCTCGGAGGACGACACCGACACGGAGGAGGCTCTGAAGGAGTTTGACTTCCTGGTGACGGCGGAGGACGGAGAGGGAGCCGGAGAGGCTCGGAGCTCCGGAGACGGGACGGAGTGGGGTGAGAGACACGGGATATTCTTTAAAAGCCGTACAAAGAACAATGAATCAGTGAAGTCTGGGCTCATTTGCATTCTTTAAGTTTATTTATTTATTTGTATAATATATACAATATTCTTTCCCACTATGACTATGTATTAGGGCTGCACGATATTGAAAGAAAATGACATTGGGATATTTTTTTCCCCTGCGATATATATTGCGTTTTTTTTAACTATATTTAACCGGATGAAAGATTTTAGTCACGGACGTCTGGATCTTAACTGGTTGACTCATCATACCTTAAGGGGGTTCATCTGTGAATGAAGAAGAGAAGAACCTTTTTGTATCCAAAATATTTCCAGATTCCAGATGTTGCTTTTCTTTTTGGAAGTAAATCTTCAGTCTCTCCGGCATTGTCCTCCTGTGCCTCGCTCTAATTTTTACCGGTGTTTTGATGGTCTGCAAACTAGCGGGGCGGGGCCTGCTGTGATCTGATCAAGAATGATTGTGATTGGTGGTTTGCTGTGCATGCAGAGCCTGCATGTCACTCACTCAAGTACCCCTGACATGAGAGCCGTGCAAGTTTTCCTTTTGTAGCAAGCAGCAAAATAATTGTAACATGACGTGTTTGAGTTCATGTACCTACTTAATATCGCACGTCCTGGAAAAAAATGATATCGCGGTTATCGCCATGACACGATATATCGTTCAGCCCTACTATGTATGTCATTAACCTGTTAAGCCCGAGAGGACCCTAATCCGGGGGCCTGTGGCGTGTTTTTTCACGAAACTGTGTCTCTTCACGAAACTGTGTCTCAGGGCTTCTTAATATTTACATTCTATATAGATTCTGACTTTTCTACATCCAACTCACAGGTTTATCATTGCTTTGAGAAAAAATATGATTAATTTACCCCTTTTAGAAGTGAAGTTATAGTCATTTGTTCTGGGCATGTCATTTTCGAGCCTGAGACCTGGAAAACAGGCTCAGGGCTCAACAGGTGAAAGGATTCTATTGTTTAGAACAATTGAATGTTTCTTAGATAACTACTTTTTTTTCTTCTCGAATTGTGAAGCACCTTGAGATGACGTTGTTTTTAAAGTGTGCTATACAAATCAAATGTATTATTTATTATAATGTGTTCTAATGTAGCGTTTCTCTGTGTGCAGCGGAGCCTCTCCCGTTCCCTCCCGGCGGGGGGAAGTCCTTCCTGTTGGGCGGCGACGACGTGATGGAGAGCGTGCTTGGGCTGGGCGACCTCGCCGACCTCACCGTCACCAACGACGAGACGGACTACAGCTACGATGTAATATAAATATAATCTTTATTTGTATAATAACACCTTTCATACAATAAGTGCAGTTCAAAGTGCCTCACATAGACATTTCACAGAACATTGATATCACACAGATACCAGTAAAAGACATCAAAACAAACTGGAAATAGCAAACTGTAGAGTAGACATATATAAAAAACATTTAGATTAAAGGTACAACGATGAAATTGTGTATTAAAAGGAGGATTGTGCAACACACTATCAGGTGACAGGTTAAAATGTATAGCAATGCATTGAGAAAGTGCAGCAGAGCAGGAGTTTGCTTCCTAAAAGGCAAAGCTGTACAAATGTGTTTTTTGAGTTTGTTTGTTTCACCGAAGTGTAAGACACACTCTGAAGTTCAGGAAACACCTACTGATCAATATAATCAATGGATCTAATGAATGTTATTGACCTTTAGCTGCCGTCCAATAAGGAGTCCTCGTTCAGGAAGACGTGGAACCCGAAGTACACGCTGCGGAGCCACTTTGACGGCGTGCGGGCGCTGGCCTTCCACCCCGTGGAGCCCTGCCTGGTCACCGTGTCCGAGGACCACACCCTCAAACTGTGGAACCTCACCAAGACCGTCCCTGCCAAAAAGTAAACTTCACACCACACTGAAATGTTTCTGTTTGTCATGCGAATAATTCACAAAGTGAGGCTGTAAGAGCCGTGTAGGCACATTCTTTTATGGTAATGAATTATGGTTTGGTGACCCATTGAATATTCTTTAAGTTAACTCAAATGAACTGAATAACTATGAATTATTATTATACTGTTTTTGTAACGTTTTGTTTAGCTGATGGACTGCTCTAGATGTATGTTTTGTTATTATTTATAGAAAGCAGAATGTAGTGCGTGTTCGCAGGCAGCGTTTCCGCCAGGGGGCGTCCTGCCGTCATCTGAACGCCCTGAACGCGAGCCGAGGGCGTCCACAAAAATAAATAATTTGAGAAAAGATCGAGAGTTTTTATTGCTTGAAATGACGAAAAGGAAAAAGGACATCCCTCTGTTGGAGGGGCAAAAGGAGACTGGTGGGATTCTTTTCGGAGTACTGAAGATCGTTTCCCCGACATCGAAGGTGCCTGCTACAGGACAATACGGAACGTACGCGATGAGTGGGGGGGTTTTAGTGGAGCAAGCGCGTGAGCTGCGAGCGCCGGAGCCTCGCAGCGGTGAAGCTGAGGCTCTGTGGTAAACTGTGGTAACATGAAGAGCCGTTTGGGAGCCGAAACAGCCGGCGCTTTAAGAGAGCCGAGCCAAATGATCCGGCTCACTCACTAACCTGGTCTGGCGGAAACACTGCGTAAGTGCTAGTTTTTTTGCGAGTCCAAGTACCGGTTCCCGACGTTCCGATTTTAACCGGACTTGAACCGAAACTTTTTAAAAGTCCAGTACCGGTTCAGCGTACCGGTACGCAGCACTAGTTGTGTCCCCAATAGGAAATTTTAAAAAGGAGCGTTATTATACTTTATTCCCTTCATTTCCCAAAATACAAGTAGGAACCTGAATACAAGCATAATGGTGTCCCTTTACAGTATACCGTTAAAGGTAAAGAGATTGATGAAGGCAGCCTGACACTCTGGAACTTCCATCAGCGGTTCAATGACCCTAATGTGCATCTGGACATCAGGTGAGATACCTCTACTACTTTCAGTCTATACTATCCTACAATTACAAAAGTCAAAGTATGTGTTACTAAAAAATATATTGTTATGACGCGAGAGGAATTATCCACAATTTTGAGGTATAAATAAATAATTACATATTGTTTTAACCATCGAATAATATTTTCCCTAAAAATGTATTTACATACAAATACATTTCCCATAGAAGAAAAGTTGCTGTTAATTATAGTTCTTAGAAAGAAAAATCTACAATAAATTGTTATTTTTTCATAAATATATTCACCCTACAAAGTGAATGTAGTTCATAATCAGTCTTTTAATCTGGTCTAAAACATTAAATCAACTGGAAAGATATCTGATTAGTTAGTTGGATTGTGTCAATCAATGGCCAACAAGTCAGGGTCTGTCCACCATGTTGTTTCCACATTTAGCTTGAAAGTGACCGCTAGATGGGCTATACATACACACAGGAACATACTAACACAGTTTGGGTTTGAACACACTGTCCATGCTCGCAGTGTCCACCTGTGCCTCGCACAACCTCCACAACACTTCCAGTCCAGTGAGATTACACCCGCCCCCTCATTCTGCCCCCGCACACATGCAAGCTGTAGGAAGGATATGAATATCTGCCATTCCCCAGCACTGCGCAGGTCGAGCTGCAGTCTCAGAGAGCGCCAGGAAATTGAAGATGAATAACGGACAAATCAAGACAAAAATAATACGTGGCCAGAGAGAAAGCAAGGCTCATTGTAGATCTTATTTCACTCACCCAAATATATTAACAATATGACAAGGAGGTCCAACCACACCCCTATTCACATACACAGAGACCTGATGACAGGAAACCAAATTGGATTGTACCCTGTTGAAAATGTCACAAATGATAAACATACAGCTTGATGGCATGATTTAGTGTGAGTCAATGTGAGAACAGGCCTTGATTAAAAACGTTTTGTTCTCAAAAATATAAACAAGATTGGTCTGCACAGACTATTGATGTGTGGGTAAAGCAGTCTTCACACATTACGTGATTTTCTCTTTGCTCAATGCAAGGCCTTGTGGTGAAACCAACTACTTAAGTTTGTTTCTATGGTTACATCCCAAGCTTTGTTGTACAGCTTCATACAGCTGTTATCTGACTGGTTGCTGTGGAAGGTCAGCTGCAATCAGGGTCAAAGTTGAAAGATAATTTGAACTTTGAGCACAGCGCTAGATAAGGCTGTGTGATTATGGCAAAAATCATAATCACGATTATTTCTGGTCAATATTGATA